GGGGGGGGGGGGCGGGGAGGGTGAGAAGGGGAGACGGGAGGGTTACGCTCACACCCGTGCTAGCCGAGACACGATGTTTAATTAACGCGTGCACTGTTGTTGCAAGAGAGGAAATGAATGCAATTGAGACTTCCAAAGTCCGCCTTGTTGTGAAAAAGTGGGCGTTGCATTATTAGCACTAAATCTGGAAGAAATAAAGCCTTGTCTGGCCGATCTCAATTCGCAACACAACTTGTTCTCGCACAAGGTATTTCTGATGTCGTGTTCGTCAGAGATAACGTTGGCTGATGAGATACGATTTCAGTGGACAAGTCTGGCTCGTTAACCAAATTTAAAAAGACTGCGGGATCTGCGTGCTCCTACTTGTGACACGACACGACTTGGACCAAGCTGCTAAAAATATCATTTCTTATATCCTACAATGATTGCAGTTTCTTCAGAAATGGTAACTTCTGGTATTGGTTTCTTTTTCACTTTTATTTGGCATCTGACTTAATTTCTACGGATTTTCAGCAAATCCATTTAGTTTGAAAAACGAGAACATCGAAGTTGATCTTGGAAATGTTGTCCATTGTTGTCCGTCACCTTCTGTCATCGCTCGGATAGCGTATGAATGCCGTCGCTAAAGAATTTTGTAGGCTTCGTCGAGGCAATATCGTCATCATTGACGACGAATTTGCGCACATCGCCCGTCGTTTTGAATGGTTAATCCACTGAGGCCTGCTGCAGCCGCATATACCGGAACAAATGATAGTCGGATGGGGCCAAGTCTGGTGAATGGGCCCACGGGTGGCGGAACTTTCCTTCCCAAGTTCAAGAGGGTCTTATGAGTCGCGCGAGCAACGTGAGATGGTCGAGAGTTGTCATGGAGCAGCGGTACGACCTGCCTGCTTCCTTGCCCAGTAAATGGCCTTTTCTGATCACGTACTTCTCCCTGTTCAATTTTCGGCTGTAGCAGTTGCACAGTCACAGTCAGACGACCAGTTTTCAGGAGTTCTTGGTAAAATGCACCCTTCACGTGCCCCCGGACCCACAGGTGAATCTCCTTCAGGTGGATGTCCTGTTTCGCCGTCAACGTTCTGAATTGCCCGGCATCTATCCGCTACAACTTTTAACATTTGGCCTTCTCGTAACAAAAAAATGTTATTTTCATTACCCGTCACAGTCTTCCACAAGAAGTCCTTTTTTGGTCATGGGTTGTGTAGGTTAGCACATGTCAGGGTGATTCTCAACTGAGCTGCAAGCTCATCTTGCGTTTGCAGTGAGTCTCCATCCAGTGGAGCTGGCGAATCCGCATCTTCAAACTTTCAGAGCTGCTGTCCGGGGCGCGACTGGTCACTAAGATAGAAATCTCCACTTCCAAAACGTTTGTACCGATGATAATACGTTTCACAAGACACAACTTCGGCACCATCAACACTACAAATTTATTACCGTGCCGTGGAAGCATTGTTTCCTTGTTGGAATTCGCATAAAATGCAGCGAAACTGCAAACTCTGCTATTCTGATGGGTTGTGCAACTCACGTAGACTTGTCGTTCGGTGTTCTGAAACCCTGCGTCTGGTCCTTTCAAAATCTCAAATGTAATTTCAAGCTCAAACAAGAATCTGTGGCAAGTAAATCATTCACCTAGTAAGCATGACACCTTAGTTGCTTAAATAACCCTCATGATTCAGAATGAACCTTATTGCCATTAGGGAAAGAGGAAGATTCACTGAGTTCTTTTCTTATTGGCTGCACCCTGCGTCGTCAGAAATTGAGTACAGCCTATTTATTTAAATTTGAACCTCCCTTCCTCTTATCCACTTGATGGTTCGTTAGTACACACACACACACCCACACCCACACAACTTTACTCAGAGCCGGATAGATTGGCTTTTTGCATGATACGCGTTAAACACAATCGCCACCGGCGCCAGCTTTCCTTCCGGCGTGGTCCCAAGAGGCACCATTTGGCGACAGCAAATCACATTAGACATGAATGAAGTTCTCAGTTTGGGGTGGGGCTGGCTAGGGTCGAGGGAGGGGGGGATGGCCTGTGCGATTACATCTTCCTACTTTTCTAAACTGTGGTTAGCCCTGCGACCGGTGGGGTGGGGGGAGGGCACGAATTGTCTTGAGTATTGTCTGGCGCCAGAAGGTTGCGTGTCTAGTGGATACCGGATGCAAAGGGCGTGTGGCTTGCGTGTGCGTTATCAGCTGGCGAAAAACATGCTCGCTCTCTCGCAAACACACACACACGAGATTTAGATGATCTCTGGATAATAATTCTCAATATGGGCAGATAAGTTAAACTCGGGGCCGGATGGGGAGGGGGTGGCGAGGAGGAGACTGTATTTGCGTGCTCGCAGTCAAGGCGAACAATTTATGCGAGCTTCACATGAAACGACAGTAGTTGATATGTCGCGGAACCTTGATTGACTTCATGCTCTTAGCCGGGTTATTTTCACCGAGGGTAAAATGAATTTCGGTGAGTCCTGGGGCTCGTGAAAAGTACCCATTTCAAAATGCGTTATCGAACCACCAATATGGTGAACTTAAGTCATCTACCAGTGCTTATTTGACTTGTACATATGCTAATCAGTGTTGAATCGAACGCCAACACAATGATAGATGGAGAGGAAATGAACTATTCCATTTTGTCTTACATCCCATTCGATTGTGGCAAAAATTCTATCGAATCTATCATTCCCTGTCTATTTCCTTCATAAAATTGATTAAGAAAAGTGTGAAAATTGGTTTTAAACAAGCGATGTGAGGGCCAGGAAGCGCTAGATATGGATTTTTTGTGAAGTGTGTTGATTCACACTCATTAATCCGGTCACCCCAGCCTTCGATACTGAGTCCTCGTTTTGCAGCATGTCATTAGTCGCGCGGATCCTCAACTCCCTCCTCATTCGCACGAATATTTATCCTGGATTATACTTACACCTAGATCTCGATGTTAACACATCTATGACTCACGCGTCTAGGCTATAAATAGAAACGCTAACGCCAACCACGACACAACGACACCAACGTGGTTGAGCTCTGAAGTAAACGGTTATGTCCACGTCCTGTCCGGTCTTTGCTTCAGTAGCCCAGGCGTGGTTCAAGACCACATACTGGGGTCCACGACAGATTCGTACAGGTTCAAATAATCATTAAGACTGCCCCCAACACACGACCCCATAACAGACTGCAAGCGTTGTCACTTCTTGTTTAACACTGGTGGCTCACTCGGGTTTTCGAATTAAAAGTCAAAAAAGCCGCTAATTTATGCATGATCGGATTTTTTTGAACTCCACTGATGTGGGTCATTGTGAAGGCTTCAACGTGCTAACTTCGGGAGTAAATGCTCAATGATATACTCTTTGCATTTGCGTCAGATTCGTGAATTCTGAGGGATTAACTAATTAAGGCACTTTCCTACTTCTATGTTTGTTAGGCATCAGTTGTTTGGTTGGTTGAAAATAATCGAGTTACTTGCCCCCAGAGAACAGGCGTTTTAACAGCTTGTAAAACAACATGCGCACTTCAGCACTTGCGGGGTGTGTGGTGGTAGGTACTAAAATTGACCAATCATTGAGGCACATTACGCGAAGGGGGCAGGACTTCCAATTGAAGCGCCTAATGAACACGGGCTAGCCGGCCAGCCAATCAAAATCCAGCGTCGCCAGCCGTAGGACCGGCTGGTATTCCCGCCACCACTGACCGTCTATAAAATGAGTTTGCTGAAATCGGTTGCGAAAATGCCCGGTTTTTCTGTCAATGACTTAATGTCCCCTAGCGGGACCGTCGCAGGTCACCTTCAGGAATCGCCTCTTCCCGAAGCCCCATTGGCGCCGCCATCGTTAGCCGTCAACCACGGCAGCAAGTGCCGATCTGGAAGGAATAACTTCGATGTCTACAAGAACGCCCTCAATATGATCGGGCCAATCATGAAGGGAAGGGAGAGTTGCGCGGAACTCCATGACGGATGTTTCGGATATCCGATGGAACGAAGGCCGACCCTCGACGACACCAGCCACTGCTTCTTCCCTCCGCTTCATTCTACTTACTTGAATGAAGCATATCCCTACGGGACGTTATTTGGAGGTAAGGATGCAAGCAAGTTAAGCTAGAAAAATAAACTTCAGAACTTTCTAACCCATCTCAATTAAGCGTGATTTCCACAACATCACGGTCTAAGAACCTTGTCCTATTATTTCGCCAAATTTAGTCAAATGAAACACCGTGCAGAAGCCAGCTTCCATTGGATATCAGTTTTTAAGTTGTTTGTATCATTTTAAAACGATTTGAGGATCAACCATATCTTGATTTTCCTGTGCACCAGATACGGGCGCTCACAGATAACCACTTCGCCGTCTAAAATAGGGTATTCAGCTATCGTGGCTCATAAACTACCTTCATGTGAAACATTTCAGTGGCCTGGCTCTGCCATATTTGGAAATGTGTAAGGCGAGGTGTCATCTATAGCTTCTTAAGACGATAGAGTTCAGCAGAACCCCTACATTTGCGAACCAATCGGGAGTCCTACTCTGGGGTAATCCACTTTGAAAAAAGCCAAGTGTAATTAAACTGAAGTACCCATTTGACTTATCTACTCCTTTCTGTATCGGCACCTGTTTATTTGGGCGGATTTGCTTGATGCTGACCATTTTTTCTACATGCGCCTTGAGGCAGCCTCTACCTTGATCTAACTCTATGTCCATTTCTAACACTTTACTTTGAGTCAACCAATCGGAATTAGGTATAAAGTGAGCCTCTATTCCGCATTTATGTCATCACCTCACATACTTGTGGTTTACCAAAATTTTTGCTGACAATTAATTAGTAAAATACTACAGCTTCCTCGTCGATTCCATGTGTACTTTTGTGTTGATGACGCATTCTGATTGTCAACAAATGCATTTAACAGATCCTACATCACACGGCATCCGGGCCTATCGTAAACCCAAGCGTATAAGGACAGCGTTTTCGCCGTCCCAACTGCTTCGACTGGAGAGCGCTTTCGAACTCAATCACTACGTCGTCGGACAGGAAAGAAAGCGCCTCGCTGAATCTCTCAGTTTGACAGAAACTCAGGTACATTTCGTCCTTGAAATCCACGCAAACTAGTTCAAAAAATTACAGTTTGTTGCTTAGATGGTGGACCATCTGGTTTGAAGCTAAAGAGAAGAGCTACACACACAGACCGTCAGGAGCTGTAAGAGTTGTCTTAGACACTTGTGACAAGTGCAGTCCGAATTTGTAGGTTAAAGTTTGGTTCCAGAACAGGCGAACAAAATTTAAGCGCCTTCGATTGGAGGAGGGAGACGAAGCGACCGAGACGGGGCGCGATGTCTGGCGAAACGTGAAAGCCACCTCACCGACCTCCCAGCAGGACTGCCTCAGTCCGACCGACGAACGACACACCGACTCACCCGAATGCGACGAGGAGGCGCTCAATTTGACTACAAAAGGCACACCCAAAACGTCCTTTCACTCCACCTTCCCCTCGCGGGTGCTGCCTCTTACCAGCCTCCTGGAATTTCAAAACAAAATGACCCATGTCCTGCAAAGTCGGCTCACTAACTCGTGGACTCCACCGCTGTGATATGCACCGTCATTTTGATTTTTGCCCTCTTCCTTGATGCACAGTGAACCTACCACTTGCCTAAAATTATTGTAAGATAAAATGGATTTATTTCTTGTTCTTCAACTGGCTCGTTTAACTGTAAGACGGCAATTGGATCTTTGAAACCCTCGGTATGGTTCATTTTCACCTAGTCTCTCAAGCCATTTATAGACACTTTCCGGTGTTGGGAAATAAGTTAAACTTAAATCTGCCCTTCCATAAGTGCACCAAGGCTAAATCTCGTATCCACACTCCTAGGCTTTTCCAACGTTCACAATATCGCTTATTTTCCACGATGCTTCAGGAAATTGCCCAAGGAACTCCGCCAATCGCAACCCCATGAAAGAAATGACCTGGGGAAATGGATAATTAGGGAATGTTTCAATTCGTCTCTTCTTAATTCGCACCAATTCGCTACATTAACCGCCGATAGTAAGGGTCGCAGTAGACAAACAAATCTACTTTTTTTTAAGGTACCATAACAGAGGGATTACCATGCAAGAATTCTAACATCACATTACATGTAGGGCACTAGGCTTTGACCACCATTTCAAGTGTTCAGTTGTATGGACCGCTATACGTTCGCCTTCTTCAGAGCCGACTTCAGATCTGATCAGCCTAGTAAAGCATTATCATTTCCATATGCGTCACCAGATGTGGGAGCCACGAATGGACAAGATTCACGTCTTAAACATCAAATAAGGTCCTTAAATGCCTAATTGTGTTGATAGTTTGATTTCATTCACAGACGAGGACAACTGAGAAGATTGCGATGGCCTTTTAAAGGCATCATTTGATGGTTGAAGATGAGCATTATGGTAATTTAGACTGTTTTCCAGCAAATCCTCCAGGATACGATCAAAATGAGAACAAATAAAGTAGACTGAGATCTCCTGTAAAAGTTGCTTTCCAAAGTCATGACGAATGCTCCGACCAGAATAAACCTGCTGCTTGAATACTGCTTTAGTGGTTTATCACTACCCCGAAAAAAAAACGTATCTTTATGCTTATTTGTTTTCAATATTTTGACAGATTGATGTTTCTATAGTGTGCGCCAACAATATGAGTGATTTAGGAAATAATCAGGTGGAAAAATATGACGTGATATACGCGTGTACAGTGGTTTGGACACGTGCAGGAAGAACACTTTGGTTAATTTTGTGAATTAAAAAGAGAGCCGTCCTCAAATCCATGGTAACGTTCCTCGTTCAGCAACACCGTGTGCTCCAGCCGGTGTACGATCTCGAAATCCGGAACTGCCAGTTCCTCGCAATCGAGATCAAGAAGACGAGCAATCACCTCACGGAATTCAAGCAACTGTAAAACGAAACAAAAAAAACGGAATCAAACAAGCCCTCAGTCTGTGGAGCTTCCACGGTGGTACCACAGCAGAATTTATGCATTCCTCTTAGCTATCGAGTTTGTGATTGCTGGCTGAATAAGTTCCACTGGGCATTCAACTGTCAATTGGCCGGAACTTTCAGTTGACGATTGTTGCCTGCTTGAAGACAGTAGTTGCCGCAGCGATGATTACTGACCCCAACCTTCCACGTGACAATGTCGTCGTGTTACGAGGCGGATTCTACGGAGTTTACACAAACGGAATATGTATTCCACTGGGGTTTCAAAGGATTTATTGTAGACCACACACTTTGCTAGAAAACATTTTAAGATTAGTCATTCTACTGCCAAACGCTTCGTTGGTGCACCAAATATTTTCCCTGTATGAAAATGCACTTTTGACTGACGTTCCATCAACTATGACAACTGGAACCTTACTTGGGATTCGGATCTGTGGGCACAGTCTAGATCAGCCTGCAAAGACGCGATTCTCTTCTGAAGAGTTTGAATAGTCTGCACGGCGCTCGCTTCAGATTGTTGTCGTTCGCGTTGGTGGCGCTGCAATTGCCTTTCCTGCTGTTCGCACTGGGCTTGGAGTTCTTTGACCTTGGCCTCAGCAGCGTGGATCAGGGCATTTGTGCCCACCGCAGCAAGCTGCAACATGCGATATATCGGTTGATTTAATAAAATTAAGCAATATTTTGTTTGGCTAAATAATAATACTGCCATTTTCGCGGATTGGAAATACCAAAACCGAAGATTTTGCAGGCAGTCTCAAAACAGTGCATGATCTTACGATTCGCCTCGATTTGTACATCTGTCCTGTTCCATTTTATCAGGTGTATGATTGAATTCGTACAGATTTTCAGTATATGTAGTTAATGGACATCACGGACATATTGTCCATTGCTGTCTATCACCTTCCACTGTCTCTCAGGTAACGTAGGAATGCCTCCGTCGATGCAACACAGTAATCATCGAAGAATTTACATACATTGTCTAGCGTTTTGAACTACCTATCCACTACGACGTGCTACTGCATTGATCGGAACAAATATTAGTCGGAAGGGGGGCCAACGCTGGTGAATATGCCGCGTGTAGGAGAATTTCCCATCCCAATTTCAAGAGGGTCTTCGGAGTTGTGCGAGCAACGTGAGGTGGTGGAGTGTTGTCGTGCAGAAACAGTATGACTTGACTGCTTCCTTGCCCAGTAAATGACCTCTTCTGATCAAGTTCTTCCCTCTGTTTGTTCAATTTTCGGCTGTGGCAGTTGCACAGTCACAGTCTGATGACGGTTTTCCGGAAGTGCGTATTAAATTGCACTCTTCATGTCCCACCGCCAGATACACAGGAGAACCGCCTTCAAGTGGATGTCCTGTTTCGCCGTCGGTATACTGAAATGCCCATCATCTATCCACGACACCTGCTACGTATGGCACTCTCGTTGCGCTAACAATGTATTCACGTGTCACTACTGAGAAAGTAAATGGTATCAAAATCGGTTGTAATTCCTTCAAGGAAAAACTTCACTTTTATTTTTTAATTCCTCCAATAGGATGCATCACTTTCGAAGAAAACCGGCCAATCAAATCGTCTCTCAAAGGCCATTGGGTTTTTGAACAATGGAGCAACCGTATGCAATAGTGGGGCCCAACTTGGATGCTTAAAATCACAGCAATTTCTCAAATTTTAAAAAGCATGGTGCAGAATTGACCCCAGCTGCATTAACGAGAGCATGCATTCCATAAGTGGTGAATCGGATTTTTTCTCCCGGATGTGAAGCAAAGCATGGCCTGCAATCGTTCGTGACGCTGGGCGAATGGCGTTGCAGGAGGGTACACGACACGGGTCCAGCGCTGACTGGTTGGTGCGTACTCAGTACAATAGCTATCAGCGTTGTGTCACGTGACACGCCGCGGCTGCCATCTGGTTCACACCTGGTCTAATGGGGAGGCGCGGTTAAGAGGTCAAACCCCGGACGAGGGGTGGTGGTGGCGGTAGCTTATCAGGCTTCAAACGCCTGTCAAAGTCTGTCGCCAATTTTGCCAGTTACATTTGATAAGAGTTCAATATCCAAACGGTAATATAAACGGTAAATGGACAAAATAATCGATAGAAGACCCAGGAAACGCCTGTAATCTCTCCGCATTGTCTTCTCCACCTGTCGCCTCGACCCGTGTGAAGCACTGATTGGTCATGCTTGATGACACCTTGGATGTGGAGACCACTTTTTCGCAGTGACAGTCTATAATGCCGTCTAATTGTTACCGTTAAGCATCTTAACCAAAGACGCGAACAACCATAATTTCAATTCCACGTGAAATCGGTCATTGTACACGCTTAATTATTAGTGTTGAAACTGCGAGTTGTTGAGCCAACCCAGATTTGCTGACCCCACAACCTTGACGACCTTTACATGACCTCCAACACTCTGGCATATTGGTGTAAAATCGCTACCAGATAATTAAAACGAGACCTAATTAGTGATCTAATCCATTTCTGATAACGAGAAATGATAAATCACAATAGTATCATTGCATCCTTTCCCATTTCCAAGTCTCTCGCAGCGTGAGAGTGTCTAAGTAAGTACGCCATCAAGCATGAATCAATTCACAGGTTTACAATCATAATTATTCCACGCACGTGTTATGAAATGTGCTTATTCACCCTCGTTAACCCGGTCGTTCTCTTCTCCGGCGCAATGCTCCCCTTACAGAGCCATGGGGAACGTCAAATCCCAAGGTTTGGATGTCAGTACAGCTGTAACTCAGGCTATCTGTTATGTTTGCCCGTAACAAAGGGAAAGCCACTCAAATAATGGAACCAAATCCCTTGTTGACGCTAGAACCGACCTTCCTACGCTAATACAAGAACAAGACCAGAGCTCATGTTGGGAGCTTTAATCACGTCAGCCACGTGAGGAGTGAGTTGTCAAAAGTGACACTAATTCGAGTCAAGGTTGACCTTGACGTGATAAAAAGCGTAGTAAAACACATGTTAGTGAATTAGTGTAAATTGTTCCAGAACCAACCATGAGCAATCTTGGGGTATCGTGGATCCCCAAAACTATCACACGCCTGAGCTATAAATACACACGCGCAAACGCCTCACACGACACACCGACAACCTGATTGAACTCTGTAGCAATCGATTGTGCCTCGCCCTCTCTGGTCTTTTTCAGCTTATTGGATATCAGGGTAGCGTAATCGGGATAAATTCAACGTATTCATCCCGGCGTGGTTTGAGACCACATCCAGGGGCCCTCAACACACATTCCTTGGCACACACACACACAGATCAAAGAAAGCTGATTAAGTTTTTAAACGATGGCGTTTAGAAAGGGAGACGTACAGTAGTCTGACTGGCATTTAGCGCCTCCGTTTTAAGTCGCGTTGTCTCCGTCTGTAGAGCGCTGCACACGGCCCTAGACTGGTCAAGTTGCTTGATGAGACGCCGTTTGTCGCGTTCAAGCGACGCCGTCTGGGCGACAGCGGTTGCCTGCTTCGACTCCTCCAATTCCGCTACGCGTTTTCGCAGGAGGCCTAGTTGCACTTCTAGCGATTCATTGCGCTCCTTCAACTCGCGATGCTTCTGCTGCGACTGCAACAGCTTGGCCCGAAGACTGGCGGCCTTTTCGCTCTCTCCAGCCACCAGACCCTTCACTCGAGCTTAAACAATGCAATGAACATTTTAGGCAATCTAAGATTTCGACGCTTGCTTGGAAATACTCAGTTGTGGTCTTCCTAAAAATGAAGTGTGCAAGGTAAGGCGAGAACAGAGGAGGGTTGTACGAAGTAACTGATCTAAGGAGTTGAGAGGTGTAATTTCCTGTCCGACAACAAAGACATGTCGTCCAGCTTCGGGGATGGAAGAACTACAAGTTATTGCACCACCATGTCTGTCCTTACACAGGCGTTCGCTAGCTCAAACTTAAATGTTCGTGTGAGGAATTACATCAGCCAAACTAGTTGACAGTTTTTTTATGACATTTATGTTGTTGTGGGCCCCAGCATGTGGTCTTGAACCACGCCGGGGCCACGGAATTAACCCTATGCCGATCACGTTTCCCTGATATCCGCGATGAAGAAAAAGACCGGAGAGGACGTGGACACAACCGTTTACTTCAGAGCTCAACCACGTTGGTATCGTTGTGTCGTGTGTGGGGTTTGCGTGTGTGTATTTATACCTAGGATGTGTGAGTCATACATGCGCGAACATCGCGACCTAGGTGTGAGGATAATCCAAGGTAAATATTCGTGCTAATGAAGGGGGAGTTGAGGATCCGCGCGGCTGGCGACATACTACGAAAAGGAGAACCCCGTGTCGGAGGTGGAGCGACCGGATTAAGGGGTGTGAATAAACACGATTCACATGTTACCAGAGGCGATTTTCGGCAGAGAAAGTACATTGCACGGAATTATTTTGTGAATCAAACACTCTTCGGGCTCCTATCTGCTAGCCACGACCACCGTATAAATAACTGAGCCAGCTTTCTGGTTTAGAGAGAGATTCTAGAAATTAGAGGTTGTCAACTTTTAGATTTCGGTGATCTACTGATGGCTGTGCAGGCACTTAAATGAGTCACTGAATCACATTGGTTATTTGCCATAGAAAAAAACTTGGAAGCCTATCATTAATTGGATTCTTTTGTCATAGATTTAGCTAAGAAATGTCCAGTATCGTCACATCAGCGTGGAAATTTAAAGTACATTTACTAACGCTCTTTGTAATACGTACTGGAGATTGCGTCCATTAGCAGGGGATATTCACACTCAGTTGCAAACCCATCCAGTTTGAGATGATCTGCAAGTTTTGAAATCCACTCACGGGTCTGCAGAGAATTAAAAACACAATACCACCTTCTCAACAATTTCCGATTGCTACGGGCTACGTAAATATTGAAAGTAGCAACTTATTGTACAGTAGTCTTTTCGCTTCGAAGACTCCGGAGGACGGACTCAGTCCTGGAGGCTTCGTGTTCCAGTTCCTTGATCTTGTCCTCGGTCAGTGAAAGGGAAGCCACCTTTTCTTTCAACTCTTTAGCGAGTGACTCGGCTTTCATTGCATCCTGCGAGAATTATCATGCTTTAATGCCACAATTACACCAAAAGCACAATAAATTAATATTCAAATCCACGTTGTGGGCCCAGCATGTGGTCTTGAACCACGCCGGGGCCACGGAATTAACCCTGGCCCGATCACGTTTCCCTGATATCCGCGATGAAGAAAAAGATCGGAGAGGACGTGGACACAACCGTTTACTTCAAAGCTCAACCACGTTGGTGTCGTTGTGTCGTGTGTGGGGTTTGCTCGTGTGTATTTGTACCTCAGATGCGTGAGTCATACATGAGCTAACATAGAGACCTAGGTGTGAGTATACTCCAAGATAAATATTCGTGCTAATGAACGGGGAGTTGAGGATTCGCGCGGCTGGTGACATACTTCGAAAAGTGGAACCTTGTGTCGGAGGTGGAGCGACCGGATTAACCGGGGTGTGAATAAACACGAGTCACAACGTCTTCTGGTGTGTGCATCCTGTTTGACTCCCGAGTGTTTTTTTTAAGGAAATTTGGATAATTAAATTTTGTTAAAAAAGATCAACCTATCCAATCCAATGGAAATTAATCAGTGAGGCTACTTTAAATTCCACGTCTAGATGTCCGGTTTCTCAGAATATAGAGAGAGTAGTCTTCCACAAGGTGTGCGCACCTAAGTAGTTTGTTTCTACAAGAACCAGCGCAACACAATGATCCATTTCATATTCAAATTGCAGTTAGAGTTTCGTTCAACAGGTGGAGACAGTACAGGACTTAATTTTTGAAGCGTCCTTAGAAAATTGTGCCAAAATTAAAAATGCTGTTTTCCTGGAAAAATGAGTTGCCATTTTCAAATAGCGAAATAGCAAAATCGCTGTGCTCAGGCCCGCAGAGTCTGTCTTTACCTATCTTTAACAAAGAAATTCCGGTTGTTTTCGGTTTTTGTCTGTTGCCATGGTTCCCGGCACTTTGAGAATAGCAGCGTGATGAGACGGGGCATTTCAATGGCAAAAATAAGCCCAGATATGACAGGAAGTAATGACCGGAGCAAGTGGACTCACCGACTTGGCCATCTTAAGCTCTTCGTCCTGTTTCACCATCCGGTCTTTTGCCCTGACGAGTAGTTTGCTCATCGACTGATCATCACAATCCCTCAAGTGGTGTCTGATAAAATGTCTGAAAATACATCCATAGTTAATTAACGGTTTTCTCGTAAGCTAACGACCCAGAAAGTATCTGGGGCCGATGCTAAGGACTGTCAAGTTTTATTTCCCCGGTCAGTGACCGTTCTCATTTGTTCAGTTAGTGGCCAAATCACTTAGGAGGGAGTTAGAGGCTTAGGGATTTCCCTGACTTCGTGGTTGGAATGTCCAGTCACTATCGAGTTGGTTGAAAATACAGAAAGAGGGCATACAGAAATTCTTGTAGAGCCTTGTGCTCGTGTTCGGTGATGGTAGGGTTGGTGGTTTGCGAAGCGGCAGCGGCGGCTGCGGCGACAGCGGCCGTGTCGGCCAGACGTCGAAAGCGATCCTCCCTCCTCTCTGCCTCGCGGTGCGATCGTTCCAGAGCGCTCGTCAGCATCTGGACACGATCCTGCAGGAGACGTGAATTCGCCTTGCCTGCGTCCAATGCGAGCTTCTGCTGGTCCAGTTCCTAGGGCGGGCATAGTGAGTGTTTTTGGCCTTGTGACAAGTTCTTAAGGTAATTGTACCTCGTTTTCACACAAAAAACCCCACCTAACAACGACCTATCGACCCGTGGGGGCATGGTAACAGCGGTTTCGCCTGCTCTCTACCCTCCCCCATGGAGTAGGCCAAAGGCCCTACAAAATTCTATCATTTTTAAAATAGAAGTGGGACAATTGACGCAAGTAAGTTGGCAGTGCGATGGAGAAAAACATGTTTTATGTCATTCAAATGCTCCAGGGCACTGGTTGTTAAGAGAACCTAACCCTCGAGGCCACAATTAGCTCCATATCTTACCAAAACTGAATTTCTTCTTCAATCGAGGTCAATTTTAGAGGCTTTACAAACAGGCTCGGTAGAACGCACCCTGTTTGGCCGGAGATCTCTCTTATAACACGAGGAGTGACATTGCACCTCCAAAAAGACCAGCAGGTTTGACAGATGAATTGACAAAATGAACAGTTTCCAGTAAAACGAATTGCAAAAGCTCTTTGCGTGATCCTAGGCAATATATATGCTTATGGGACGAATTCTGTTATCCTAAAATGCCTCAAAATTGAGCCGAAAATGGGTCTCGAGCCTCCGAAGTCAACGAAATAATCCTGACTACTCTGTAAGTAAACTAGTTCTCCGGAGTTCGATAACTTATTTGCCATTTTTACGGTGAATGGCCAGAATACAATGTCCAGATGTGATAAAACCAAAATCTTGTCTTGAAAACGTATGAGCAAAAATTATTGCAGACATTTGGCGTCAAATGAGTATGCTTAAAATGTTTTTTACATTCTCATATTATCAATATCGAAAGGGATCTTTAAAAAAAACTTTCGGATTACCTTCTTTATTTGTCTCATTTGGAACTCAGCAGACTCGAGAGCGTTCGTAGCCTTGTTTAATTCACCAGCTAGTCTACAAGTAGTCTCCCTGGCAGCTCGTTGTTCGAATTCAAAGTTACTCGCCTCGTCGACTAGTCTTGCGGCTTTAATTTGCAATGCTTCATGCTGTCGAAGTAGATCCTTTACCTGTTCAAAGGGATGAAAAATAGAATTACAGGATAACATTTTGACACCCAAAGTGTGGAACTGGCATGTGTCCTCAAACTACAACACAATAAGATGGTTTTACATTAGCAAGGGCTTGGGGTTGGAGCCACGTAAGATTAACAGCGCAGCGTACTTAAATCACTTTACCTTTTCAAAGCATTCGTACTCGGAATCACATTCTAGCAAATTCGTTAATATACCACGGTTTCTGTTTTCACCTTTACGTTCTTCCGCGAGCACTGCCATAACTACCATCAATTCTCACTGCAACATTAAGAGTGATTAAATTATGGCAAGTGGAGAAAACCCAAAAGCTGCACAGTGGCACTAGCAAAACTGGGATTTATTTCACAATTCACGGAGACCAGAGCTTCGGATGGGGGTGTGATACATACCATGTTATTCTTGATTTATCCATTGTTCTAATTCTTACTCTCACAAAGCGCCGCTTACAATTTGTCCACCAGACGAGTAAACCAACATAGCTCCAACATGGTAAACAATGGCGCTCATCAAATTTTTTGGATGCCTACATTATTTAGTGTTTCGTGTTGCAATATTTGTTGGTTATGATAAAACAAATCCGTTGGTGAACGTTCCGGATGGTCTTATAATATGTAGAGGTTTGGTGGGTGAGCTAAATAGCGGAAATCAACGTTTCGGAGGCGGTTATTGTATGGAGGTGGAGTAATAAATCAGTATTTTCGCAAAGTGCACAATCTTGCGATACTATTTAACGCAAGCAATACGTAAAATAGGAAAAAAAAGCACCACCCATGTCAAGTTGTTCGAAATGGCAATCAATTAATGAATTCTGAGTCTCAAAACTGTCGTTTCATTTTATCGGTATTTGAAGCAATGTTTGTGTTAAACTGGAACGCAGGGGCCGGGTCGCGACGCGTTAAGTTATTTTTATCAGTTTTACAGCGTGTAGCGTGGTTGCTAACTTTTTTAAAATGACTTTTCATTAAAGAAAGCTGAAGGAATCAGATGCTAGTGGAGTACAAGTATGTAACTAAATCAAGTTCAAAATAAAAAAAACAAACTACGAAGAGACACTGTAACATTTCGCCTATCTTTTCAACAAATTTAATTTGAGGTTGTATACATGGAATGGTTTTTGCCTTGGTCTCCCTTAATGACGCTAGTAAAGAGCTCGGTGCTACCGTCTTTATAGAAAGAAATTCACATTGCATGTCCACAGAAAGTACAGCAGTTTCAAATACTAAAACAAAATAAACGAATGAAATTCAAACTAGATAAAAAAATTGTGAAAATGTAAGGAGAGAGTTAATTATCTGACAAAAATGCAGTTTTCGGGCAAAACGTGAATTAACACTCAAACTACACGTCAACAAAATTCGAGCTTGTAGGTAATGTTAAAGTAGCAGGCGCCAGGTGCTTCGAGACTTAATGATTAAACCGAAAGGACCAGAGTATAACGTGATCGTAGGCCCCTTCTTGACCAGGCCTAAATGAGGATCCAATGTTTTAACGTGAGTATCAAGAAAAGTGGAAAATTTTATTCCTCCTCTCTGTTGGTGAAGGTTTTAAGGTGAACTATTGGGTTTAAAGGCTGCGTTTGATATTAACGCGAAGCAGAAAAATTAATTCCATGACAATATTTCGTGATAGTTCAGCTCTGACTACTTCAGATGCATATAATTCCTGAATTTGCTTCTTTTTGAAGCCACATTTTGAGTTAAAAGGTTATTTTTAATAGTACCCTACAGCATTCCAAATTAAATCCTTCTAAAACATCAGGGAGAATCGAGCATGAAAGTATAATAAATAATGCAACTTAACATGTCCCGAAAAATTGCTGAATCCTAATCGCAGAATTTTGGGATTGCAAAGTTTATTTTAGTAGACTATTTGGATACACTTACTTTTGACGCCTCCATCACAACCTGCATAATTTTTTAGATGTCGATGGCACCTAGTATTACTTAAAAAACTATTGTGCTAGATATGTTTTTGATTCTTCAGACAACGAACTCAGGACATAAGCTGATAGAAGATTGCCAACCTCAAATCAGAAACCTCACTTGTGGGTTTTGAGATATCAAAAGAGAGAGTGATTGTATCCGGACCTAATTAGTGTGTATTTGCACAAATACTCCGCAAAGTTTCATCCATTCAATTTTTATAATAAGATGGACCATGCAGGACAAATACCAAAACACATACTATATCATGCAAGTAAGATTAAAATAAATTTCCACTCATATATAAAAAATTCTCAGAAATCTTTCAAGGAACCGTAAATTTATTTCCGAGTGTTCGAACATCCATGCTAGAATTCAGAGAAGAAACTTTCATATGGCCATCACAAACAAAAACATAACACATCGTCAAAAAAACAGGTAGTACCAGTACTGAGTCACACTATCTAGGACGGTTGTGTAATAAAAAAAAGAGCGTCTTTTAAAAAGCCAAGTATGTACAATTCACATGGAGCATTTAAGAAACCATGGACTAAAACAAAGTCAAGGCAACATTATGCACAAATACTACAAAATGCAGTATTTACCACTAATAGTGATTATGTGCTTAGTAGTATTTTATGTTTTTTTAGCAGCACGTATTTAGCAATAGTTTACTATGTTTTTGATTTCAAGGATTTCATTGACCACAGTAAAGCAAATATGTGCTGTGCCATCCAATATGCTTAATTCACGAAAAAAATGTTGCATGAAATTATATTTCGTGGCTCTTTCCTCAAATGAAATTCGTTTGTTTATACTAATCGACTCGAGTTCGCAGTCTTCGTGTTTGTGTTCCCATCTGCTGTTGTATGTCATTGTTACGTTATGATTTTAAACGTTTTTGTGAATGACTGTAAAAAAGCCCTATGTGGAATGAAAATGGTGTTTGATGCGGCTGTTGCTGCTCAGTTAAATGAGTGCAAGGTTTTCCTTCGACTTTTGGGTGTGAGCAACTGCACCTCATCAATTCGACAAATGCGTCCCATTACAAAATGTGATGTCAAGAAGTGTGTGCGATTTGCTGGTGATCGTGCCTACTTGATTTCGGCCCAAAGTCAAGCTATCTCGAGAGAGCTTTTTGGCAGGCCACCTGATTCCTCTGTGCAGTCAAGAAAATTTTCAACATCTGCTTCTGAAGTAGCTCACGACTGCCCTAGTAAACAACCACTGAAATCATCCAAACAGCGTCGCGTCCCCCATTCTCGAATTGGAAGGGCCGCTGGGTTTGGAAGTGAGTAGTCGTTTTCCCTCTCGCAGTCTTCAGATCTCTTTCTTGGTCTTGGGCTCGGCGCGGCAGCTGAAATGGCAAAGCGCTCTGTTGGAGCATCCGATAGTAGTAGTACCTCTAATCCGTTTTTAACCGATGCAAACCTGGAAAGAATCGTTGACACACTTTGTCGAATGCGCGGTGCGGCCCTTAAACTCGGACAGATGCTCAGCATACAAGGTATTGTTCTCGTCATCGACTTACCTTTTTGAGGAAAACTTAAATCGCATTTCTATTTTTATCTGCGGCGTCATAAAATGCCTTTAGATAGCTCGCTTGTGAATCCGAAGGTGCAGAAAATATTCGAGCGAGTTCGGCAGTCCGCTGACTTCATGCCAACTTCTCAGATGTACAGCGTTGTCAACGCTGAACTGGGGCCCGATTGGAAGGACAAATTCGCGACGTTTGAAGAAACCCCTTTTGCAGCAGCAAGTATTGGACAAGTTCACATGGCTAGTCTTCCGGATGGCAGGTATGTCTGTAACTATTTGTCAGTCTTCATTTTCCGTATCGATTTGTTTGTAAGCTATTGGTGTGGCCCCTCCGCATCCGTTATTTTGTATGGTTCAAACGATTGTTGTATTAGAAACAACTTACTGCAAACATTCGTCACTTAGGTCGCTTTCAAAATGCGAAAGATTTTTGTCGGCTATGTGCTATGATATTGCTTACTTTTTCTGGTTACCTTACCGCTATAAAACGTGTTTTCATTTAACGCTTAATAAACACCTAAGTCTGACGTTTCGGCATAGTATGCACAATTCGCCAACATTTCCCATGAAATCATTTCTCTCCGTGTCTATCATAACATCAACTAACATCTCTAGGAAAGTTGCCATGAAGATTCAATATCCAGGTGTCTCCAAGAGCATTGAGACCGACGTTGCTAACATCACATTAATCTTAAAACGTTTCGATATCCTCCCGCGTGGTCTTTTCGCCGAAGAAGCCATTCGTGTTGCAAAGAAGGAACTGAAATGGGAGTGTGATTATAAACGCGAGGCGTCCTACGCCGAGAAGTTTTCCCGCCTCCTGGACAAGGACCCAGTCTTCGTAGTGCCCAAGATTTTTTCAGAACTCACGACAGAGCGCGTTCTCACCGCCGAGTATTTTGATGGCCTTGTTCTTGACGATTGCATCTCGTTGCCACAGGAGACTCGCAATTGGGTAATTGCTTGCGTCTTGCTCCCACTTTACGTTTGAGATACTAGTCGCCTGATTTACTGTCAGTTCTGGGAAAATTCACCTTTATGCACAAACTAGTCATGTTGTAAGCCTGGCGCTCTTGAAGCACTAGTGTACCGACGACTGGTGATTCAAAAGTCGAGTTTAGGATTGTGAATGTGGTTCCTCGGGGCATTTGCAAGCCTGCTTACCCATCTTAATGCCAAGGGATGATAGAATTACGCTTAACTGTCCACATTGCGGAAACTCAACCTTTACCCCCAACTCTGCAAATCCCTCTCATTTATACTGAAGTCTCCTTTTCCGTGTGGGCATTTAAGGGTAATTTGGCATGCAAACATGCTCCGCGTTTCTTTGTTTGCAGCCACGATAGATTGGAGCAAAATTCTTTCGTAAATAACATTGTATTTGTAACTTCTTGGGCGAAGTGTAGACTGAGTCCCAGGCTTTTCAACTCGAAATGGTCTAATGTTATTTAAAAATGCAACGTCAAATGTGAGTACGATGTCTGTATTTTAACATCGTCAAATTGTTTGTTGTTCGTGCGCAGCTTTTAGTGAACTAGTCTCACCACGAGTATTGAGCACCCTTTTAAGGAGAATGACTTATACTTGGGGGCACTCCGTTGTGCCATCTTGCTTTTTTGTGCAATCCAAACCGGCAAAATCTCCATTTAGATCGGTGAAAACATCCTCCGACTGTGCCTCCTCGAAGTCTTCGTGTTTAACACAATGCAGACTGACCCGAATTGGTCGAACTTCCTTTATAGTAAGGATTTGCACAAGGTAAGAACTGTCATTCGCGAAAGTCACATTATTATTGCACGTTGGCCGAATTCGCTCACTAGGCGTCTTTGTCCTTTGACCAAAAGATTGTTCTTCTTGACTTTGGTGCGTCCAGAGAGTACTCGCGGAAGTTTGTCGACAAATACCTCAAAGTCATCATCGCTGCATCCAACCACGATAGACCGGGGATCCTGGATCATTCCAGGGATCTTGGTTTCCTTACCGGATATGAAACAAAGGTTTGTGATTCTGGCAAAAATACTCGTAACTTTGTAGCCTAACGGGCACTTGACAGAATTACCAGGTTAATGGCTATATTAATCCCGATGAAACCCGAAATAGTTTCAATGTGGTACTTCCTCAGTCCTTTTCATGAAAGCATACCGCACCTTGCATGATTTGCTATTACATAACCTTGTTACAGTCGTACTTACCACTGATTGTTATTGTTTTGTGGATTTATGCAGTTTTCCACAGAGGATTTGTTGATTGGTCAGCCCCTACATGTGTGACATGGAGCTCAAGGTCAGATTTCTCTAGTCACACAGTTGTCAAGACACGCATCAGGTCTTTACTGCCAGGCCTGATATTGTGCCTGCTTGTGATGAATGCCAGCGGCAGTACGAGGACACGATGCGTGTCTTGAGTGCGTAACTTTGGGAATATCATCAGCTGAAGTTTGGTGTGCACCTTCGGATTGCCGATAGCCTGGGATGAATTAGCAGCATCAAGTCGTGGCAGTGGTAATTTCCTCAAGATACCGTTTTAGGCCTTTCTGGACGCCCACGTGGAGGCCGTGAGTGTGTTGGGAGAGGCCTTCGCGTCGAAGGAGCCGTTCGACTTCGGTGCGCAGTGCACGACCGAGCAAATCAACCGCATCATTCCCGTGATGCTGGAGCACCGTCTCACGCCTCCCCCCACAGAGACGTACTCCCTGCACCGCAAGATGTCCGGCTGTTTCCTGCTCTGCAGCAAGCTCGGCGCCGTCGTTGACTGTCGAAGCCTCTTCCTCAAAATCGCGCAGAATTACCAATTCGGGTTGGAGAAAACGCCAGATTTGTTTTAATATCTCAGCTCTCTTTCTCAGGGTGAAACAATCGAGGCTTTTTAAATTGCCCCTTTGTGTTGTATTAACTTGATTCCCCTTCTCAATACAGTCGGAAGACGTCTCAATTCGCGTTACTTGGGTGTGGTTGATTTAACGCAGATGTGTTAGTAATATCGTTGAGGAAGTAGTTTAACCGTTTGGTTGGAACTCGAGACGCGACCCCCTTTGGGTTTCTTTTTGGATTTGGACAGGAAATTTTTTGAAACTGGCCAGGAAAAATTCTATACTTCTCCCATAGCCCTCGTGCTCGCGCATTTGCCTGTCTAAACCTGTGCCCTAATAAATACAATTTTCAACTGATCCACTGTTCTCTCTGATTGATTTGGGTTAATTTTGTCTCCACTCATTCATATTTCAAGTCATTTTCGTGGTGTTGATTGATTTTTCCGTTCATTCTGTTATGGGGAAAACCCGTTGTGGGTACTGTTAAGAAGTTCTCTCTCTGTAAAAGCCGGCCGTCTATGCGAAATGGCCGAGCATTTCGGAATAGACAGTGACAGATCTGCTAGGTGTATCCCTGTTTCGTGGGTTTTGCTAGTATAAACGGTTGTCACGACACTACCTGATGTATCTGACGGTCACCACCTCGGATCGCACTGCAGTTCTTGTAATTGGTGCTGGTCTTAAGTGCGTGGAACAAATCTGGTTGGGAGTGGTTCTTAAATTCCACGACTGAATTGCCAAAGGATCTATACTCTGGACGTTTGTCTGCTTCCAGCAGCATACCTTATGATACGCCTTAAAAGTCTTCATTCTGTAGTAGTTGCCGAATTTTTTTACTGAGAAACGGCAGATGCGAGAAACTGCGATAACCAATGGTCTCGGAAGTCAGCCGTCTACGCCAACAAGTCTGGAAGACTCCTCTGGTGAAGGAGCTTTAGTGCCATTCCCAGAACACGAGGGCTACACTCTTCTCGACAATTCCGCCGTTGTCAACGGAGATTTCAGCGATAACGAAAGTTCGGACTCGTGTGCTGATCCACTAGGCGATGCTACTGTTGATGAGGAGCTCCGGCGAGTACTCGACTCGGATGGAGTTGCGCTTGGATCCTTCCCCGCTTCGGTAAGTTCATTTACGCAGCCAAGTTCTCAATTGTTTGTCACCATGGCGGAAGAGCCTTCGTCCGCTATTGCAGCTTTGTGGTCCAAATAGTCAGTACATTTGAGCGCGGTTTTCACTCGCCGATGTAAAAACGCCTCCCGAGCATCAAGTGTCGCATCCATTTTAATTCCTAAACGAGTCCTCTTTGTTTGTGGTGATGTAATGCGCCCACAACCCCAGCCTTTAGCCAACCATTCTTTGTCTAGGAGGAACCCGAACTCCCGGATGAGTCGTCACCTGCTCTTTTGTGGAACGCACCTCGATCTGCAGAGGATCGACGAATTCCCCTTTCAGATGGTTAGTTTGCCTCACTACGAACTTATCAGAACCCTAAATTCACACATCCTATCCCCAATCCCAGGCAAATATTAGCACCACTTTAGTTTTGCTGTACGAATAAGGACCGTCTGGTAATTTGTGATCTCCTCTCCCTCTCTACAGCAAGTTCTTTCTTGCCAAGCCTAATTTTGTTAAAGTAGGCAGACGTCTATGTTCACGCCAGCAGCTGCCCCATGTGACCTCACGAGGACATCCACGCGGGGGTTTGGCCGGCTCCTCTACTTGCCTCACTTCCCCAGTTTGTGTGTGTGCAGTCGCCACTGCTGATGCGTAGCCTGCACAAGCGGATCCACTCACCACTGCCCTTCATTTTTTTCTTTCCTAGAAAAGGCTGCAGAAATTAAAGCATCCCTAAGCGGCTTCGAGCTTCCCGACTCAGGACTCCCAGCCTGGGCAAAACAGATCCCTGAGGAGGTGTGGAAGCAGAGGCTCCTCGAACGGATATCGATGTCTCCCCTCACGAAGTAGGCCGATCGCGATTCCACTGACTCTATCCCCCTTCCTTGCATAATATATGACTGTTATATTTACCTCGTCTGCCTCTTGTCTGCAAAATCCCCTAATGCTACCGTGATCCGCGGCATCTCGACCGGTTGTTTATTGGCTAATCACCGCAGGAATTTAACGCAACCGATTTAAGCCTCTCCAATTACTGCGTTTAACCGAAAAAGCCTTGATCTCTGGAGAGCGTTCCACAGTGGATTTCTACGACACAACTGTCTGTTCGCACGAACACTAGCTCTGTTAATACATACAAAAGCATTTTTTGACGTTGAGATGTAGAAAAGTCGGGGTAAGCGGTACAAGTATAACAGGTAAATGCGGATGCAGGCTAGGCGGGTCGGTGATGTGCACCGGTGTGTCTCTATAGCTGGTTCTCCTTCTCCTCCTCAGGCACCGCTACGTCACCTTCGGCCTAGAAAAAAAAAGAAGACAAATTCGGCATTGATCCAGAGGCACCGATGCTGCGAATGCAACTGAAAGGGCGAAAACGTACATTCCCGTAGAGTAGGAGGTTTGACGTGTCGTCGTCGGTTTGCATTGCCAGTTGTTGGTTGTTTGCGTCCCAATCTGCAAGTATGCATACCAAGATCGTAATTGATACAGTTATGTTTGCCTACGACAAGATTTCGGTGTGTATTGAGAATACTCATGACCTGACAAGTTATCAAGAACAGCTAATTGCATACGAAAATGCCGTCGAAGCCTTAAATTCACAAGTAGAGCCTGGATCAGACACCGTCATCCAAATGTGCCAACATGACTGTTGAATTTGAAGTCAAGGCAAAGATATTAGAACGACTGTAGTAACCAGGATGACATGCTGTAGGAAGTGGCGTATGTACATGGGGAAAGGTGTACATATGTGGAAGTATGGCTCTAATTGCGGGCCTCTTTCTAGCTGAGGGGGAACAATGTCACCTGGGCCACGGGGATGCAGAAATCAACAAAGACAAATTAGCCATACGGAATGGTTGATTTACAATAAAAAAAAGTTACGACGTTCAACCAACCAAGGAATTTGTCTTACCAGCTTGGTTGATGACGGCCAGTTGGGGTTGGCCGTCCTCGCCCTGGATGAGGATGAGCGTTTGGCCGGGCTCGAGGTGAAGATCCTCGGGTATCACTAGGCGCTGCACGACCTCACCAGCCGGGTCGGTGATGTCGATTGTCGCGGGGAGACCTCCTGCCTCGCCTAACGCGGCGACTTGCTGTTCCTCGGGCGCGTGAAGCACATCCGACGCCGCCTCATCTGGGCCGGGTTGCAATTGGTAGACTACTTGACCGGCATCATCACCCTGGACAACTCCAGCACCGTAGGCAGCCTTGGTAAAGAGGAAGATTCAACACGGTGACCACGGGTCTAAGAGTCCATAAGTAGAAATCGGTTTCAAATCAACACACCCCGCTGTGGACACTGGATCTGCCAAATCATTGCTGTGCGTTACGTTGGTTAATACTTTCCACGAAATGGCATATATGAATGTTACGAAGGAAAATAACATTAAAATTAGCTATAATACCGAGTACAAGTGGCTTCTTGCACAAAGTGGGCATACCTCCTGTTCCTGTTGCAAGCGCATCTGTTCCTCAGCCTGCCTTCGAGCGGCAACGATCTCGGGATCCGGCTGGAGGGTTGCACAATCTGCCTCACAGTCCTCTATCAGGTGGCGTGCCAGCGTGTTACCATCGACACCAGAGAGCGCGCATCTGGGACACGCGAACAGACCATCGACACCTCCGAGACCGCTCGTGTCAGCTGGCACGGTCGGTGTCTGCTCCTGTTTGGCCTCATCCCTTGCAGGCTGTTCATCCGGAGTAACCTCTGCCGCAGTTGACTCAACGGCCAAAGCCTCAGCTTGAACTGGCTGCTCGCCATCAGGACCAGACTGATCCATGGGCTCAATGCAGGCAGCTTGGCTTGGCTGGGCTTCGGCTGGTGCCACAGAGGTCGCATGATTGTACATCCATTCGAAGGCGACGGGACGAATCATGGGGCTGCCGGTGTGGGAGTCGGTCAAAACAGAGCCAGGGGCATAAATGTGCGCCCGATGAACGTGACGGGCGAAGCCGGCGGCACAGCAAGTAGCAAACACACAGGCAGAGCATGGGAGGTACTGCCTAGAATGACAAACAAAAGTGACGAATTGGTTTCAAATAACCAACAGGCATGAGTGAGGTGCATACAACGCACTTGTGATCGACGGAGGAGAGCGATTCACCGCATTCAAGGCAGGACAGTTGTGCGGTCTCAGGGGGGAGTTTGGTCTCGGAGAGGTCTTTCGTGCGACTGGGTTCGGGCGCGTTCAGGAGGATCACGTGGTTCTCCTCCTCCTCCTCCTCCTCGTCTTCGGCTGTGGTCGCGGGGGCCTCCGTTGCGTCGGGCTCTTGAGGCTGGTCTGTGGTCTTCGCCTCAGCTTGTGGCTGGAAAACCAACGGCGAAGGCTGCTTTTCGGCCTCCTGAGCGGTCTCAATAGTGTTCGTCTAAGCAAACAAACAAAGACTTGGACCAGTTGTTTCAATTAAATCTGTCTTTAGATCTAGAAGACAATTCAACAACGCAGAGGCGATTACATTATTACGTTCAAGACTTAATTTTTTACGATCTTTTGTGGTTTTGAAATGTTTCAGGACACCAACAAGGAGAAAATGCTTCTGAAACGCGTAAACCAATTTGCATTGTTCTTGGTGCCAAAGTTGTGTCTTATGATACGTGTGATTGTTTGTACAAAACGTTTTAGAAGTAGTAATTTCGATCTCATTGACAAGTTGCGCCCCAGACAGCCTTGAAAGTTTCAAGATGCGGAATTGCGAGCTCCACCAGATGGAGACTCAACGCAAACGCAACAAGACTTTGCAGCTCAGTTAGGAGTCATGCAAACAGCTATTTCTAAATGTTTGTACCAAATGGGAGAAGCTACAAATCCAAATTATTAATACAATCACGTACCACAGGTGCCTTTTTACAAGAACTTCCTATAACTACAGGGTACGCGGGTGGAACTGACCGCCTATTTAGAAGTTAAAGATCATCGTGAGGATTTCAAGGCCTGAAACAACACCGCAACATTGATACCACACACTAAAACCTTTGTTTCTCACTAAGGGGGTAAGGGAGCACAACTCAAGACAAAGTTTCGTGTCCAAGATGTAGCCAATTTGAGGTGCGGCTGTGACAAGAAGCCCACTTTTCGTTTTATGTTGATTTTATCAATACTTTATGAATCGGAAGCGACATGAGAACAACTGAGCTACCCACGGAGGTGAGATTGAAAAGTGTGTGCCACTCTTAACAGAACACAAAATCTTAATAAAGAAAGAACACCTTTTTTCGAAAGCTTACCATAAATTCCTCGACACCCTGAGATGGCTGCTCCTGCGCCGTTTCTTCTTGCTGCTGCTTCATTTGTTGTTCAGCCGCGGCGGCACTACTACCGGAGCTTGAGGTGCACGCCTTGTGGTCCAGTCTGCGGTGAACCTGGTAGTCGGATTTGTTTGTGAAGTTGAGACGGCATGTCGGACACCGGCGGAGTTGGTGCTGCACTTGGTGCATGCGCAGGTGCTGAAGGTACACCTGAGTTTGCCCGACTCCCGCGCCGAGGCCAGCAGTGCTCACCGCACCGCCTCCACCGCCTGGCGACATCAGGGGAATCCCCGGAACACGAGCATCCGACGGAGTGAATATACGCAAGCAATAAGTGCACAGCAGATGATTCGAACCATTGTGGGCCTATGAAGAAAGAAATAGAGGCCTAAGCTAGCACGCAAACCACCAATCAACTGTCACCCGGTAAGATTTAACTAGGCATAACACAAATATACAGCCATAAGTTAGTATTTAGTTTGAATACTCACCAGCAAGTAATGTAAAAACGAAAAGCTAGAATTAACGAACGTTATTACGCCACTACGTTATTCGTAAGTAGTATGCATAAGGCAGGTCAATAACCTTTTTAAAGTGATCCAGAATATCCTCATATAGAGATGATCTGAAGAGGCATATGCGACAGACGTAGGGCATTTCTCGCTGACGGTGAGTAGATTGTAGGTGGTGCGCCAAGGCTAGATCACTAGCAGCCTCTTTACCACAGATTCGACAAGAGAAACCCACAACTTCCACCTGGCCACCAGCTTCTTCGCCTTCTACTTTTGGGGTCTCAACAATCGTAGCTCCACCATGATCCTGCAACAGAATAAGCGCTTATTATTAGCAGCATTCAATACAACTTTATAACTGTTTTAAAATTCTAACTAGACGGTGTTACTTGATGGGTGAAAAATGAAAAAACGAACTTTACATACGGGGGATACCTGAGAAACACAATACCTTCGTGACGATGTTTAGTCCAAGTTGCAAGACAGATTGCGCGATATATAAGTGTTTATTCTTTAGATTAGGTTAAAATACTTTTTAATACATAACTATTGGGAAGTGATATCAAATCGAGGTAATCCGGTATAAGCAAATCCACGACTTTCACGTCACCAAAAATCGATAAATACCTTTTCTAAGTGAGCTCGAAGGCAGAATGCATTCGCGAGGGTGCGGTTACAAGCCCTGCATTGATTTAAGGCACATCCCAGAAGAACCTGGATGCCTTCGTCCACATGTCCCATGATGTGATGCATTAACTTTATGTTAGAATAGAACATTCGCTGACAAACAGCACACTTGAAACGAAATTCCGCCTTTTCCTCCACGTAATTGGAGGTACCCTCCTGTCTGCCGTAGTAGTATTCGTCAATAGGGATGCATTCTATGGGAAATAAATGGAACTTAGACATAAAAACAAAATGACCAGTGGATAAAGCAATGCCTACAATAAATAATTTAACTAAATTACCAATTTCTGAGTCGCGATCTCTTGTTTTCCGAATAGCGAGACCCTGATTAGTCGACACTATCTCCAGTCCAGACTCAGGCCCCAATACACTCGAAGATGGCAATTCTGGTTCTGGAACGTCGTCGTCAATATCAGCGGCATTCCTAAAAACAACGCTCGGAGGAAGAAATGAACGCAGTGGGCGTGCAGAGCCATGCAACTTCGCCCTCTCGCCTTCAACAAAGCACTCCGAAACATAGACGGAGGGCCAATCCGACCGTATAGGTTTTTCGGAGTCCAAAAACTCATCAGGCACAGTTGTGTGCGTTTTGAGAACAGCAACCTCGCCCTCTATATTCGATTCATTAGGATAGAGTATTGCGAACCTTCGGGAACCGGAAACTCCCAGTTGTTTTGCTGCAATGTGTTATAAACAGATATTGCCCCAGCATGTTGCAGAGCATTTAGCGACTCTCCTGTAAGAAGGCCATTATCACCTATCATTACACCCTCCTCGGTTATGCAAACATTTCCGCAATTGGCCAATCTACTAACGGCTTCTAAAAAAGTTCGGTATTCTCTATCAACAAATATGAAAAAAATACAAACGCACTGTAGACGTGTTTGATACGCCTTCAACTGGGCATCAGACAATGACTCCGATTCACAAATCAATGCTAGAGTCCGAAAAAACTTCGGTCGATTATCACCTCTAAGCTAAAATAACATTTAAAAATTAAAAAATTTAAAGAACACAAAAACAACCAACCATCTTTTACCGCAAGACGCGCTTAAAATTAATAAATAATTAAAAGCACAGCGGATTTCAATGACTTAACCGTCTGATTACATGGCAATAATTATGAATACTGCTTTGACACTAAACGATTTATAGGCACTGTAACAGTGCATTCAAAATAATGTTTTCGAAGCACGTAGATAATTTTAATAGATCAGCTAATATAATAATTGGTTCTATTTATTGTTGAACAATTGAAAATGACCTCAGCACATTTTTTTATAGTCTAAGAATAGAAAAAACCTCAAAAAGTCTTTTGAATGGTGCATCAATTTTTTCTGGTTTCATAATGTTCTGGTTCAGGATCGAGTTTCGTGCCCAGTCTTGTTGAAGTGTAGTCATTACTCAGTTAATGCTCATGGCAATAGTATGGCCACATCATTTTTATTTCCTAATTGATAAGGTCAAGTAAAATGACTTTTGTGGGTCAATTATCTCGGCCCAACTATGGAAAAAATATTTGCTCTTTAAGGCTTTATTTTAACATGTTAATGAACTTAATATTTGACATTTTTTTCAGAGAGGACACTCCCACACTAATTCCCTTCTGCTAGTCCTTCGTGCATTTGAGGTTATTCGTGTTTTCCTACAGTAAGTCTTTGAAAAGACGACAAAATTAACTATCTTAACCTTCCTCAACCATATTTAAGCTTTTTAAATAATCACTGCTTTGCTAGATGTTAAATGTCGATAGAATAACTGGATGAAAATTTCATTGCATATGACAAAAAATCCCCGGTCGTCTTCATTATATGCGCAGCGTTTGCATTTTACTTCATTACGGGCATTAATAAGTTTCTGGGAATTGAGAAAGATCATTCAACCACTAAGATATTTACAGATACCATGTGGAGCCTGAAACTTAATTAACTTCACGAAAGCTAATCATATATTTGGTTGTGCATAGCTTAGTGAACTATAATTTTACCTAAATCATAGAGTCTACCAGAAGTTCCACTTATTGAATTCCTATGGAAGCATTTGCATAATTAAATATTAATGAGTAATAAATGTTAGTGTAAACCATACGAGATAAAACAACCTCAAGAAATTAAAATAGCCGTCAGTATTTTCACATAGCTAGGCGATTATACATTTTTTAACTTGTAACAAAGGTGCTGATAGCTTATGAGCCTTAAAATGTACAATAGACTTGAAATCCTAAATATCTGCATGCCTGTAGATAAGTTAAATTCAGTTTACTCTTAAAATAGGAGTGATCATGATTAGAAAACAAATTAAATAAAGGCTAATCATTGCGAGGTTTTTTGGAAATATCGACTCATTTTCGCAACAGGGTCAACTTAGAAACATCTTATCAATCTTACACAAATTATGGCAATTTATTGGATTTTTTTCCGTGATAACAACAATTTGAATCTCATTTAGGTTTATATTGGTGATAATGTAAACGATTTGAGCTTTGAAATGCTAAATTATGCAATCAAATTTGCAATCCCATTATGTTGGACCATTACAGTCCAAGACTTTGGTGATTCCAAACTAAAGATTTGGAAGACGTTTTCAACTAAAAAAATTTGGCTGATATACATTACAAAAAAAAGGGATTGCAGTGAACGCCATTTGTTTAATAAGTGCAATATTTGCCTTGGTAAATGTCAGGAAGATTTGATCGAATGCCATTTTGATTAGATTGTTCACGAAATTACAGCATTTTTTTGAAAATATTATTGGTTTTAAGGTATGAAGCAACTATTTACAATGTAGGTTTGTGCCTAATTACTTCGAAACTAAGCTAATAATCTTATGGTCCATAATAAACGGTGATTTAAGAACTGGCCGCACACAAGCCAATTATTGTGACGCATTCTTCAGATATTTTATTAATTTTACGGTCACCCTTACAAAATCCGTTACACAATCAAGCATATTGTATTTTGAGTATTCTTCATAATTAGCAGTCGCATCAGTATTATTTATTTGGGATAAAATATTTTAACTCTGGCATAGACAAGAAATTTCCGCTTATACCAAAGCCAATTTATTTGCTCTTAAAAGACCATTTTGACGAATCCATGTAGGTTTAAATGATTCCTGCAAGTTAAACAAATTATGGGAACATATCAAAATATTCCTAGTATTCAAGAAGGTTTTGTAGACTCACGTGCAACTTATGCTTCTCAAAAAATTCCCTTAACAACGTGTGCATAGTTTTAGATTCTATGCGGGAAAATAGTGCCTCACATTATTTTAGAAGTATCAATATTTGAGCCAAAATTACACAAATTAGTTTGACCAATTTTAATTTTTCTTTGTCGCTTTCTAGTTTATTCTTATATCTTTTGTTCAGTTTTATGTATTTGCCAATTGGCTGCTAATTCAGTTAAGTGTTTGGCAAAATACTGACTATGATTTGGTAAGTTATAATTTTAAGTGGATTTAGATTTTGGGCTGAATCTATGAAATAAATATGACAACGGACGTTTTAGGAATTAGCATAAACGAACCAGGTGGTTTCTATGCAAAAATGCAATCAAACCAATGTTAACGTGAATTATTGACCTAAAATAAATGGTGACCTATTTTCTGCGTGCCTTGCGTTTAAAATGAATGTTTTTTATTTGTTAACGTTTTTATTATAACTAAATTTGCATTTCACAAAATAATTGAATTCAATCAGTGTGATTACACGCTTTGATTTTACTGCCAGCTTCAAAAATGTTTATATCACTGAGAAATGCGCCAATATGATATGAAAACTAGTTACCGGGGCATTGGTGGGGTTGACATTTACAACCATGCCTCTGTGTGACAAGCCCCCTGTTCCCGAGGGTTTTCAGGACCTTCTTGAAGAACTTACATTTGAGGTATTAAAAGAGAGACCATCTGACTACATTCAATTTTCGATTGATTTCTTACAGTCGCGAAGGGGACCTAACGGGACGTTTATTACGAAAAGAGCTACAGCCCAGAAGGCTAATGATGATCCCCTTGGAAATGATAGAGCTCTCCACCTCCGTTCCTGCCCCAGAGAACTTTTGTAAATTAGGAATAACAAGCAGCGTCTGACAGACAACGGGTACAATTGATCGTTGTGCACAGTGGCACCATCGCTGCTTCGTAACTGGCAAGTAAATATCTAGTGAGTCCTACTGGGGCTACTTTAACAAGTCTACTAATTTTCCACTCGAAATGAAGTCATTTTTCCCTGCTTCTTGTTTCCTCTACTAATTATCGGAATATTATAAAGCAGTTGATTTTAATTGCCAATATTTTTGAAATAATTAACAACATAGCAATCTAGACAAAATAACTACGCCTTGACTAAAATTACACAGCAGGAGACTGACCTTCCTCAATCCTATCGTTTTACCCAAAATCATATAAAGCATATTCCACGAAAGACGCAATAGTTAGATTAAAACTAACTAGAACCAGTCTCATGATTATGACCATCACCGAATCGCTAAGCTTTAACCAACGCTTACTAGGGACATTTGAAAGATAACTACCTAATCCAAACGATCCTGTAGGCTTTAAGTCCCGGAATCACGAAGAAGTTAAACCAAAATAAGAATATGCCCTCAAACTAGGCTAAATGAAGTAGAGGGGAACCAGAGGCAACTGAGACTGTGGAGTGACACATAGATATGTAGAACTCACTGCGTATGTGCTAAACGAGAACAACTAAGTTCCATCCTAACTTTGACAGGGTTGCGGTGATTAAAATTTTTTGTTTGATTGGCTTTCAACCGAGCAGATTTCTAAAAATCGAAGCCTGGGATCTCCCATATTTGATTTCCGAATCAACACGGTGTGATGCTAGTTTGGGGAGAAACGAGAACAAATTACCAAAAAGCTTTCAGTTGAAGATTCATGTTTGAAAAGATAAGCCCGAGAATGATTAAATAGTGAAAACAAGTTTGAACACAAACTATTACATTGGAAACCTTTAACAATGAGCGTTGACAGCCTAAGGGAAAGCGTCAAAGTCATCTTCCGAAAGTTCCTTTGCACTCTCCATTTCCTGTTGTTCACGTTCACGGCGTTCCTTGAAAAGAAAAAATCCACGTTCATAACAAATAAATTGACAAAGACTTCCGTTATACAAATTCAACTGCTAATAAGGGTTATTTGTTAAACAATACCGAGTGGCCTAGTTGATGTGAACATCCCTGGTTTACGTGGATAATTAACCCTGTGTAACAATGACGACAGACTAAATGGCTAAGTAGTTACTCGCACTGTAAAGGGTGATATCCAAAAAGTAGTTTAATTCAAAACACTTACTATTCATTATAAATGTTCTGTATGGGTTTTTAGCAAGTTAGAGCCAAGATCATGTGCTAACTTCACAATGATGCGTAATTTTTTTATATCTGAAAAGATGTTGAAAAATTATACAGACCTACCTCGGCCGATTCAAGGTCCTTACTGTATTGCTTGGGTGGATAACGCATGGCTTTAATAGCCTGGTTCCGGATTCCGAGACAGAAAGTAATGCGCTGGTGGAATTGGTCCATTGGCTCGCGTGTTGAATACAGATCACTGGGCTCGGTCGTTACCATAAACCCACGCTCCCTGTTTATAACTGCGTCAATGACGCCGTCACGGATGGCCTAGATTAAACGATACAATTCAGTGGAGATTCCCAACACGTGTAACAATTGAGGCCAAACCAAAAAATCCGTTGACGGCAACTTAGATCCATGTTTGACGGTTATGCGTTGCAGCAATGTACAATGCAACATCAACTTAGTAATTTGCAGACATCACAATTACAGTCAAATCCACCACCAATGCATGAATGCAAACATGGCTGAGATAAAACGGTAAACTAAGATCACCAGAGACTGCATCTCTTAATGCAAGCTGTCACCAATTTGGTTTTACGTCGATCAGTAGTACTATAGTCAAGCATTATACATAATTAGAAGGTCAAAAAGAGCTATCCGGAAACCCGGTTCGCCTTGGCTAAGCATTCAGAGAAAGCGCATAACTAGGCAGGCTTTTGCAAGAAATAGTCAGGTTCTGAATCCATGAGAAAATGAGAACCAGACAGACCTTCGCTACTATGTATTCCGCATCCTCGGGACTATCGAGCTGCAACTTCTCAGCAACGTCCACGAGAGATATCTTCGAGTAGCTAAGGGAGATCCTGCGAACGCCCGTTTTGATTACATTGTGACGAAGACGCAGAATGAGGGTGTAGGTTTTGTCATGAATGAATCGTTGGGAGTAGGCCTTAAGGACATTGTTGAATTGCCCCAAATCACCAGCGTGAATGGCTTGAGTGAGCTGGAAGTATGGATGAAGGGCATCCTTGAGGTCGGCCTGTCGGAATATGCTTCGGTCAGGCAATTCGCCTAGCAACAATTCAACGACAGTGTTTAGTTTGTTCAGTGCCTGTCTGAAACCAACTGCCGTCTGTTGAGGCGCCTTGCGTTGAGCAGAAACCAAGTGGTCATGGGCTGCATTGTAATCCAGCTGGATGGCTTTTATAAAACCTAAAACCAATAAAGACTTCGAATTTACAGATGGCACCAAGGCGATTGGTAAATTGAGCATGAATACAAGATAAGAGTAGTTAAAAACGAAATAATGAAATAAGCTGAGCAAAATACATGATAAAATTAACCAGGTTTCCTTCGAATTATAACGTGAAGTGCAAAACCACAGCGAAGAACCTGAGTTTATGGTAAATGAGACACCAAATCTTAACTCAATTTGCCATAAAATGATAGGGGTCCGAAAAAAAATAAACACAGCTAATCGGCAACATCTGGTAGTTTAGTTTTTACGTTTGTGGGTCTAATAAGGACCGACATACCTAGGTAGTAAAGAAACCGAGCCCATTCATTATTGGTAGCTGACTCAGGAAACCGAACGCGGCTAACCAGTTTCGAGGCCTGGTTATGGAGATTGTAGTGAAGGTAGTTCCGCAATAGCAGATTGATGAGAACAGCCTGACAGTCGTAATTCTACAACAGAACACAAAATCTACATCCATTGTGATGAACCAATTTGCACGCATCACACCATTCCAGCATTTTTACTGGGCCATCGAACGCCCTTTGTTAAAAGCATTTTGGGAATAAGTGTGGTGATATGTACACAGCAATAACCGGCACATCTTCATGACAACGCAACACCTCGATTGTGCACAACAGGACAGCAAAACACAAACACCCTGCAACTACTTAACACATCACAACTTTACATTCTTTAACGTGGCCGATCGAAGGCGAGTGTGAAGGAACAAACGGATCTCTTCCAGTCGGTCATCTAGCTCAAATGCTCTACTGTGGTAGTAGAAACAGCGACTGGCGAGTGCCGCCATTGTACGGCGACCGGTTTCCTGAGTTCTCTCCATCAAACGAGTGGAGCACTTTGTTGCCTACAAAGACATACACACAGGGTTCATGCTATATGATTACACGAAACATCGAAAATAAACGAATATGAAACAGCTACTGTCGTCAATGGTGACATGCTTAATGGTCCAAGTTTTCAATCGCAAAATCAGACGACGTGGCCGTTCACTAACATCTGACACAGTTACTAATTTCAACTGGCATTTCCACAGACTAGAAAAGATCTTAGTTGAGCTTGGGTTTATGGCACACTTGGAACATAAAATTGCGTTCACATGGTCGATTACAGCTAATTAAGTGAATAACTAGACGTGTCGACACATCCACCTGACCAAAGTCTCGCTTCGGTTGTATGCGCTAAACATTTGCAGGGAGTTCAACGTGTCCAAAAATTGCCTTATTATTGGCTACAATGGGTTACATTATGGTACGAAAGCACGAGGTCACAAAGCACAATAATGTTTGCATCGTGACTTGCCACTTCTGCTCTTAACATCACACCTGCAGGTAATAAAAAATAAGCCCAACACGAGCAAATAAAATTCAGAGACTAGACAGTAGAGCTTAACATACCTCCTTAGGTTTACCTTGGTCCAATAGATGAATGAGCAACAATAGATGGAGATAAACCTCAACCTCCGGGAGAAGGGTGGCTGATTTTTGAGACTTGAACTGCCTGTAGTTTAATTTCGGTGGAGCATCCATTGACTATTTAAAAAAGAAAAATCAGCTTAACTCAACTTACCTCAGGAAGGTGTTCCATAAAGTATGACCATTGTTGAGATTGTGGAACAAAGTAGGCCTGGACCAAACCACGCAAAACACTGCTGTTGAGCTTTCGACGAATCGGAAGGATGCTACGAAGGACTCGAGTCATAAAATGAAGCTCTTTGGTGACGACAGCTTTTTCAATATAACGAATTTGATCACGGATGTCTTCAAGAGTAAGCAAGTCTACATCCTTAGTGGCGTCGCCTTCAACCGTGACTTTCACTTTGTCAGCTGAAATTTGCTCAGAAATAGGGCGTTGTGACTGATTTACTTCAGCTCGCATAGTACCTAGTTAGAAAAGATAGCGAGAATAGTACGCAATTATATTACTTCCTAACCTCAACTAATTGATACTGTTCGTCGAAGAATAGATTGCGAAATTGAATATCATTCGATGATATAAACAAGGTGTCTGCCGACTACTGATTTGTCCATTTAAATCCCAAACATTTATTTCACGTTATAATTACCAAACGATTAATTAATGGAACTTTGTTAGTAATAATAATAAAGAGGAAAAGGCTTCATACTGACCAACACGCAAGCCATAACTTGTACTTCCAAAAAACTTGCATCCAAGACTAAACCGCATAAATCAACAAGAATTTAGTCACGTTAAACGATTAAAAATAAAATTTTTAATTTACAAAAAGTACAATATGTTAAATCACCAAAAGAGGGTTAAAACTGCTATATCACGAAAACAATCGGATCGACCGCACTGTGTCCAGGAGAGTTAAAACAGCTCTTAATCACATCAAATAGTCCCCAGTTATTTCAAATATTCAGAATCATTCGTCCAATTTTAAGGCCATATAATTCAAAGTTGTGAGAAAGAAATAAGTTGCGTTAGTTAAGAAAAAGGATGATGATTATTAAATACTTTTATTGATTGTTAAAAGTGGTAATGAAATTTTGTGTCCATGTTTATGATCAAGGCATTAAGTAAAATAAATTTGCATATTTTCATATATACAATGTTAATTTTTTATCCAAATGTTTTTATATACTTTTCACGCACTTTTTAGCATTTGAAATGTTTTCTTTTTAATACTCAGTTAGTGATCGTTCGCAACTTAGTCAAATATAGTAATATACATTCAATGACTTCATGATAGACCACCCGATAATCAAGGTTAATTTTACAAGGGGGCCATAATTTTGACTAAATATGAACCATTTACAAAAGTGGATTAAAATTTACCTAGCATGGCAAAAATGAGCTGATGCATGCAGTACTGTAGTAGTTGTTACCCTATTTCTTGAATAATTGTTTGGTCCGCGTTCACCACTCTTAGTAGATGGTTTTCGCATTAAGCGTATTTGCGTTCTTCTCTAGCTCATGAAATAATCGTTGCTATCTTCTCGTTATAATTACTGCTCTTGACCACAGCGCTCGCGGATTTTTCATGAGAGTTATATTTGTGTTTTTTGCCCTATTTTAATACTTTTCTGGCCCACTACAACTGAAAGGGCATTTCTACACATGATGGAATTTCAGTTTACACATTTCATGATGACGAAAAACAACAAAAATTATGATTACATTATTAGTCACTTATTTTGTCAAGTGAGACTGAATTTGGCACAAATCTGTGACAAGCATTTTTTAGAAAAACTGGAATCACTGGAACAATAGGTTAATCGCAGTAAATTCATGCGAACTGTTTACTGTTACATAACAACGCAAAAATTTGGGTTTATTTGCTTCATTACAATGATTGCTAGTATAAAGTGAATATGATGAATTTGGCCAATGATGTTTAAAATGACGTGAGCAATATTACGTCTCCAAATTTTGTCTCTTACTCTTGAGCTTTGTTTAAGAAAGCTGGTTACAGCAGACGATCCATATGGTAGGTTAATTTTTGCAACCTAATTTAAAATGTTAAATATTTTTGTCTTTCGTGAAAATAGCGATCACAAGCGCTTTGGGTCAAGACATTTAGCAAAATATGCAATGATCCTTGAATATTGCTTTGCTAACACTAATCCCTACCCCATAAACATTCTGCGAAAAATGTGCAAAGTTCTAAAGTTAACTCAAACTTTAGTCGCAGAGTATTCTAACCACGCAGTTGAATTAAACGAGCATTGTCTTAAAATTCATTCTCTGTGGAGAGATTTATCAACTTAAAATATTATGCCCACAATTTGAAATGAATCACTTGGCAAATTCAAACCATTGCAGTATTATGTCGTGGACGAGATGAAATGTGTGTGCGTGGTCACAGAAAAGGCTGGATTTTTCCTTCGTCGCTTCGACTTGTAAGGTTGGGAATGCCTTTTTTTAACTCTCAATTTAAAATCCCGGTGTTAACATGTTCAAATAAACCCTGCCTATCATGCAACCAACGGCATTAGTAGCTTCATTCCAACGCCTAATGAACACCACATATCGTTATTTAGTTTAACATGAGTGTTTACTGCATATGAGAATTTAAATACACATTTTAAGAACATTTTTCATTTTACCGTCTAGACCCTTGTATTTTTGTAAGCAGACAATGCATTGTCGTCGGTTCATGTAGGATTTCGAACAAATTGCATTGCCACTAGAAGAGAACAAAGGAATCTCAGTAGGCTATCAACGAGATTAAAGCCCGATTAGTTACGTTGTGAATCATTACATTTCCTACTTTCGAGTACGATTACCCCCCTTTTATTCTAGACACTGATGCCCGGATTAGAGCCAAGAGCAGTCCAATAGATTTGAACACCATGCAATTTTAGCGCCAGAGCAGAACACGACATCAGAACTCAAATTCGTCTTAAGCATTATAAGCTCTATAATTAGAGTAACGGGATGCCGCTATTAACGGCTCATCAAATCCAAGACTAGCTGCCTGCTCTAAGAAACGAATCGGCTACTTTGCTTGATGGTTATCAATATCAAATCTGTTGAATTTCAAGGTAGTACACCGACCAGGTATTAAATTAAAAATGCAAATGGCCTTTTTTTAGAATTCACGAGCCCACGACAGATTTTGCCTCTGTTTCTGTGAATCAAAATTTAGTCGTAAAATTTGGCGCCACAGAAGCAGAGGACCTCAAGATAAGTATGATTTACGATAATCAGTGTCACAATTAGGTAAAAGTGGCCGGCACGGTCTGTGGTCAGCTTGGAATAGTCCTACTATTCGGGAAGGAGTCCTGATTTTTCAGGATGCTCTGTCGCTTCCTCTAAGTATATTTGTGTAGCAGTCCGCTGTGTATCAGACAGTTGTGAAATGGGCCGCACGTCATTGTTACTGGTGGACGTCTAACTGGGAAAATATTGCCGTGCTCCTGCGTCCTGCAGTCGGTGTTGCAAAGTCAAGTAACTCTCAATGGCACCAGGACTAATCTTCAACTCATGATCGTGGGTTACCGTACAAGTTAGTATGGTTACATATAATAGGTACCTTATAGGAACGGTTGTCGTTACATTTGTGAATTGTGGTTATTCACACCCCTTAATCCGGTCGCTCCACCTCCCACAAAGGATTCCCCTTTTCGCAGCATGTCGCCAGCCCTGCGGACCCTCAACTCCCTCCTCATTCACACTGATATTTACCTTGGATTATCCTCACACCTAGGTCTCGATATTAGCTCATGTATGGCCCACACATCCGAGGTACACACGCGCAAACCCCACACACGAAACGACGACACCAACGTGGTTGAGCTCTGAAGTAAACGGTTGTGTCCACGTCATCTCCTATCTCTTTCTTCATCGTGGCATCAGGGAAACGTAATCGGACCAGGGTCAATTCCGTGGCCCCGGCGTGGTTCAAGACCACATCCTGGGACCCACAACTAAAAACTGATTCCCCGTGCCTTAGATGCCTTTTCCCTGTTGGAATTAGTACAAAATGAAGCGCCGTCGGATGCACTGTTCGGGCAAACTGGCACTAAATGGGCAAACGTTCGTCCCACAAAGCAAGCTGATGCCATTTCAGGCGTTCAAGAGTTAGCGGTGGATCATTGAGGACCTTAACAAATCCACAGAGGTCGTAGGAGCCAGTTTGAGAGCACGCTCATCCTAGAACTGTGCAACCTTTTGGAATATCATCGGCCACTTTTGACGACTTGCAGCCAACAAGAAAATGTGCGGTTGGAACAGGCAAATTACACATTTCGAATGTTGCTACAGTTGAATATTGTGTTTGGACAATCAGTGTCACCTCCATTTGCATGGAGCATTTCATTTAGGGATCCCCAGTGTCTTTTGCGACAAGAGACTTTTAGCATTGTGGAAAATCACCCAACATCCAGTGGATTGACCGAAAGTGTCGCAGTCCGTTGTGAACATCGGTTACGACAGACGTGGGTAGAATATGCCATTCCTAGAATAAAGAGGACTGGCATAACAGAGCAGGCCTTGTTGGCTAAACACGAGCCAAAGATCACTCATCCGAGTCCGTCATCCAGGCTGCGCTGCTCGTTTTATACTGTTTCTCATTCGTCCTTGTCTCTGATTGGCTGCAGATCCTCCTCGTAGACTATTCAAACGCACAAGTGCAGAGGATTGGCTGAGCTCGGTGTGATCTCACAGGATCACGCGACACACGAGTCCTACAAGGCGAAGTTACAAAACGGTGTTAATTTTGCAGCCATTTGGTGTAAACGATAACGACTGAAATGCGAGTGCATTTCTAAATTATGAGTGAACTAAGAGAATTTGTATGACAATGAGTACGCATTACAAATTCTTAAGTCTTAGTTGCGAAAAGACACAACAATCATTTGAAAAGCTTCCACAACCAAAGCTGAATTTTTATGGTTCCTTGAAATATGATTGTTTAAGTAAAAATTTACGCTTGAAAATTATTTCCGGTATATCATCAAACCCAGGTGCAATTTGTCGTCAGGCACATTTCTTTGTTAGGTAGCTTAGATCGAAATCAAAATGTCTTAATTGTCCCACTGTGTGATTTCGATTCTCTCTGTAACAATATTCCTATTTTCATAGCCAAATCTTTTGCTGTCAACCTCTAGAGTGATAAAATCACGCATTATTTAACTGATGAATTTTGATTTCAAAATGAATCCAAAAAGTTCTGCTGGATGCATTCAACAAAAATACCTTTTAACCGATTTATCCCACTCTCTCTGTTAGAGCAACATTAGAAATCGCTATTTGTAAAATTGCTCGACTTATAATAATCTTGTAATGCCGAAGAGGGCAGTTCAGTTGATTTGCGCACTGTTTCCGTCAGATTTTCAAAATCATTCGAAGAATCTTATTGCTTCATGATCAGTCAGGACTGCCTACAATTTGCGCTCAGATGTTGTCCATCTAGAGAGTGTACATTTTGCGAAGGTGTGCGAGCGTAAGTTGCTTTGTATACTTTACTAAAAGTACCAATGTAATTACCGATGTGTGTGGTGAAAATTGTTTGATCAAGATATACTTTCTAGCTGAGTGGTGATACAAACCTTTTTGTACCCTTTCACCACAGTTAAAGGAATGACGAAAATGTGGTTAACATGACAGAGACCAGTTCTTGACTGTCGCTTCAGTGATAGTTTACGATCTTACGTAATGAACCGAAGTTCAAGCACGTTGATTTCGTTACACTATTCCAACACAAGAAGTCATTGCTACTGCAGCCTGATTCAGCACCAAGTACCCAGAGAATAAGGTGAAGACTCAAGTCGTCGGAAAATCACATTTTACTGTAGCAATAAAAGGATTGGCCTTCAGCGTGTCAAGACGCCAGTTTAAGTGGGAACGCTTGACATTCCATCTCGGAGCGAACAACGCCTCGTGAAGTGAGCTCACAGTGATTAATCGAAACTCTTACTCACTCACGCCTAAAAACGAGTGTCTGTGAACGATCTTGAACCAATCTCGCGTGGACGTGATGGCCGCCAACACTGGCTTGAGTGAACACCGTTTTCATGGAACTCGCGCATAGTTGACTGATGGTATCTGCCATGACAACCATGCCTATTTAGATATTTGGAAAAGTACAAATTAACACTGCGAATTGACTGCCAAAACCACTGCACTAAACCAAGATCATTCTTGAAAAGCATTTCTTGAGATTTAACCAAACCGACTCCTTCGCGACACCCAAGTTAGTAGTAGTGCAACCGAATCCCTATCCTTTCGACAAATCAACAGCAACCCTCTTCAGAAGCCACCGACACCTTCAGGATGCCGCCCTACGTAGACGTAACCACATTTTTGCGATGAAAAGCCCATTCATGCCGTAAGAAAATCATTCAAAGACGCGTGGATGTCAAGTTCAAGTACTCGTAACCAACGCACCCATGACCCGACCTGTCAACTCCTATCAATTTGAAAGATGTACGACCTCCAAAATTTCGGTGTTTGAACATCACTTTAAAACGAGCCCACGGGGCACACGAACTACCACAACCACAAACCAATCTTTCTGCTACATCAAGCAAGAAGTTTAAAGGCTTGTGACGAAAAAAATTGGTCAACCAAGTGAAATGTGGAACAAAAAGACATTAGTCAAGGGTCTGATTAACCTGGACGATGAATGATAGGAAACAGAGGACCTTATGGTGGTTCTCTGATTTAAATGGGAGCCCTTTACTTAAGCAACGATTGGGTGGCCTCTAAATCTAGTCGCGCACTGTCAACTCAGTGAAACAGGAAAAAGTAGCCTAGCAGTTTCCTGTACTGTGAGAAGGGGTGTGCAAAAAGCAGGTTTTTTCTCAAAACACACTTGTTATTCTCCATAAAGGCTTTGCATGTGCTTTAAATAATGCGATGTCAAAAAAGTCCGCTGTTTTCGCTTTGACGAGTTATTCCGATGGAGAGTGCAGGAGCGGTCAAATGAGCGAATAACTTCTCGGCTAGACACCAAAATAAATTTTTGAAGGTCAAACTGATGGGCAGACACGTAACGTGTTCAAGAAAAGCGATCGAGCGAGCATTTTGGGCATTACTGAGTCAACCTATCAAGCTATCAAAACCGCATAAGTGAAACACAAGCAAATTATTAACCTAGCACCATTTACGAAACCTATTTGGCTGTGATGCACTGCAAGTTCTTACTTCGTAGAAAGAGGCTTAAAAAGCGGACAAACCTACCTTTCTTAGTTTGGGTCTCGAGTATTTTTTCTTGAGCGGATAACGCATGGCTTTAACAGCCTGGTTCCGGATGTTGAAAAGGAAATTACAGCGATGGTGGAATTGGATCGATGGCTCGCATGTTGAATACACATCACTTTCCCGAGTCGGTTCCATGTAACCATGCTCCTTGTTTATCACTGCGTCCAAGACACCATCACGAATGGCCTGGATTAGCCGAAATAAACATTGGTGAGCGGCATAGGAGCATCCCAGCACTTTTAGCAATGACTTCAGAGCGAGGCAATCTACGCAACAATTTACCAGGTTGCGGACATTACAAAAGCGCAAATTTGCTAAATACAGTCATTAGGTAAAACAATTTCTAACAGAATTAGAGTAATATACAAATACTAAGGTCCCGTTTGACTAGACATTCCAAGACAGCGCGTGACTGAGATGCTGTGGCAAGGTGGAAAGAAGATCAAGTTCTGAATCCATGAGAAAATGGGAACCAGACAGACCTTCATTACTATGTATTCCGCATCCTCGGGACTATCTAGCTTCAACTTCTCTGCAATATCCGC